CCCGTCCCCCGCCACAGACCCCCGCCTGCGGCCGCCGCGGCCGCAGCGCGCGCCCCGCGCCCACCTTGTGCAGCGCCTGCTGCGCCTGCAGGCAGAAGGCGACCGCGTCCGCCGCCTCGTGGAACGCCACCGCCCAGCCGCCGCCCTCCTGCTCGAGTATGTTGCCCGCCTGCTCGTGCGCCGCCTTGCGCATGACGGCGTTGTGCATGGCCAGGGCCTTGCGCGCGAGGCCGGGGCGCGACTCGGCAAGCTCTGTCCGCGGGGGAAAGGGCGGGTTGGACTGCGTTTTCGGGGGGTTCGAGGCGGCCGTGCTAAGGTTCGGAGCAGCGCGTCAGTGGTCGTCCTGCACGCTGTGAACAGGCTGCCTCCTGCACACCACACAACCCCACAAACACGCACTTACTGTCAAGCCGCGCGCTCGGCGCTCGTCTACAAAGTAACCACTCTCAGTCCTCGGCACCACCGTAATCATTTCGTTGGCCATGGATGACAGCGTGTGACATCACCATAAGGACGCCCGCAGCCCGCGGCCCCTTTTGAGCCAACCGCACAAGCACATTACATGTGCCGTCCACAAACCCGACTTCCTGTCAGCTTCTCACCTGAGAAGCCATTGATATCAGTGACCACGACGCTGACCCTCGCCCCCGCCTTGAGCGCCCCCCACCGCGCGCGCTTGCGCTGCAGCTCCGCCTCCCGCGCCCAACGGCTCCTCAGCAGCACCCAGCGGCCGGCGGCCAGCGCCAGCGCCGCCGCGAGCAGCAGCAGCGCGCCGCCGAGGGCGACCAGCGCCCACGCCCAGGCCGCCAGCGGGCCGCGGTCCGAGGCGCACGTCAGGGCCGTCCCGCCCTCGCCCCACTGCTCCCGGTAACCTTGGACGCACGAGCAGCCTTGGTACTGGTAGTAAGCAGGCGGCAGATCCCACTGCTCGCCGATGGCGTCCAGTAGCCCCTTCTCGGCGGCGCCGCCGTCAGCCGCGGCCCGCCCACGCTCCCCCAAGGGCCTGCGGGCCGCCGGTGGGCAGCTCGCCGCCGCCGCGTCCGGCCGCTTGCGGCGGATCGTGTGGCAGCGCAGGCCGCCGCCGTCGCCGCGTGGCGCGTCAAACGGGCCGAACTCCAGGAAGCAAGGCAGCAGCGCCTCCGCGGGGCAGGGCTGCTGCTGCTGCGGCGGCGGCGACGACTGCGGGTCGGCGGCGGCGGCGGCGGCTTGGCGGGCCGCAAGGGCCGCGTCCGCGGGGATGCATGACATGCTTGTGTTGCGGAGGTCGACGCGGCGTAGGGTTGGGAGGGCTCCGGCCTCTTGAGGGAGGCTGCCTATCAGCCCCTGGTTGCCGGCAAACGACACGTCGCGCAGGCTGTAGGCGAGGCTGAGGGTGAGGATGAAACAGGAAGGGCAAATGGAAAGGATGATGCATGTGGGCGTGGTTGCGCGTGCATGTAAGAGGGCACTCGGCGCAGCGCTGCGGGACGTGCGAGATCGCTCAGATGGCGGGAGACTTTTTTTTCCGCGCGTGCCGCTCTTAGCCGCAGGGTCCCGCGTCGCGCGCGCAGCACCTCGCGCCGGCCCCTCCCACTCCCTCTTGCGCCCCTGCCGCCTCCATGGCCCCACCCTGGACCCCCGCGCGCCGACGCCTGAGACGCGCCCAGAGTGTACCCCCGCGCGCACCCGAGGGACGGCTGCACCGTGCCCGTGAGCATGTTGCCCCCCAGGTCCAGGGCCGCCAGCTGCGGCAGGTTGAAGACGCCCTGCGGCAGCGCGCCGCTCAGCCTGTTGCCGGCCGCGTTGAACGTCGTGAGGTAGGTCAGCAGGCTGATGCGGTCGTCCAGCGGCCCCTCCAGCCTGATGGGGCGCGGCGGGGGGGTTGGGGGGGTGAGACAGGGATGGGGTGTGGTGCATCTGTGTGTTAAGAGAGTGTGTGTGTGTGTGTGTGTGTGTGTGTGTGTGTGTCTGATAAGTTCTGATATGTTTCTGGGTGTTGTGTATGTGTGTGTGCACGTGCGTGTATTAATTGTGTGTTTATGTGCGTAAGTATGCGCATGTGCACGCGTGCACATGCGTCGCTGGTGCCAGCACAGCATCCCAGCATCCATCCCAGCTGTGGCCCCGCCGTCAGGGTGCGTGCGTCCCAAGCCTCGAGTCCAACCCTGATGCCGCCGTGCACGAGCCGCCTTGCGTTGCCATCACAATCGCTTCGGCCCAGCCCCCCAAGGATGATGATCAGCGTTCTAAGGAGTTTTAGGATTGTCAAAGCACCCCCCCCTAGCCACACCGTGGCCTCTCACTTGTTGTCGCTAATGTCAAGGTACGACAGTATGGGGGTCAGGTAGAGGTCACGCGGCACCCCCCCTCTGAACTGGTTGCCCTGCAGCAGCAGCGACACTAAGCGCGTCCAGTTCTGGGGGGGAGTGCGGGGGCGTGCGCGCAGGTTTGGAGTTGAACGTTTGCGCGTGGTCAGAAGCAGTTGACAAGACAGAAAGGCGCGGAGAGCGCACGGTCAGAGAAGCAGGGGCAACCCTCAAATGCCTTGTTTGCCCTCCGCTGTTTCCTCCTGCGCACCGCCGTGGCGGGCAGGCTGCCCGTAAGCAGATTGTTTGAAAGGTCTAGGGACGAGAGCTCGTGGCAGCGCGTGACGGCCGCCGCGGGGCCGCTGATGCGGTTGCTGCGCAGGCTGAGCTCTCGCAGGCGCGAGGTTGGGCCGCAGAGGGCCTCTGGGATGGTCCCTGAAATCGAGTTGGTCTGGAGGGCCAGGCAAGGCGGGGCGCGGTGTGGCGGCGGGAGGAAGGCGGGGCGCGCGCGATTTGACGGGGGCTGCAGACTGGGGGTTTGGGATGTTGTGCAATGCATGCGCACACACGCATGCACGCACGCACACACACACACACACACACACACACACACACACACACACACACACACACACGCACGCACAGAACGCGTGCAACATTACAATGCAGACGCTTTCGCGCACACACATGCACACATGCACACGACCCCCCACCCCCCAACCCCCACCCACATCTGCACACATAAACCGACACACACATCGCATGCATACCAACGTACACACCCGCACCCCACCCCACCTGCAGGTTCAGCTCCACGAGCCGCGTCAGGCCCGCCAGCGCCGCCGGCAGCGTGCCCGTGATGCCCCGCAGCTCCCGCCCCGCCCCCGCCCCTGGCCCGCCTGCGCTGACCCCCATGTTTGGCCCCAGGCTCAGCACCTCTAGCGCCGAGAGGCCGCCCACCCAGGCCCCAAGGGGCCCCCGCAGGAAGTTGCCGCCCAGATCGAGCACCCTCAGCCCCGCAAGGCGCGCCAGCTCAGCGGGGATGGTGCCGCTCAGCCAGTTGTTTGCTGCAGAAAGGGGATTTTTTTGCGGAGGGGAGGGCGGACGCAGGGGCCCGAGCGGAGCGGGGCGGGGTGGAGGGTCAGGGGGGGGGGGTACACCGGAAACGCGAGAGGCTGAGGCGCTGGCGTGAGCGCCGAGCAGTCCTGCAGGACTGCTCGGCCTCATGTTGGAGCCCCTGCCAGGCTCGCACCCTACTCCCACCCCCCTCCGCCGTGCAGGCACCGTCTCCTCCCTCACCCCCACCACCACAAAACTTGCGGCCGCCCCGCGGCCCACCGAGGTTGATGACTGTCAGGTTGGTCAGCCGGCCCCAGCGCTGCGTAATCTGGCCCGCAATCATGTTTGACTCCAAATCCAGCTCCCTCAGCCCGCATGCGTGAAGCTGCTCGATCGCATCCATGAGCTTGGGATCTGACACGCTCCCATTCACGTTGCCGGCCCCAAGGTGTATCCCCCACACAGCATGCAGCGCCCCGCAGCGCCCGGCCGCCACGTCGGCCGGCCCGCAGCAGTCAACGCCGCCCAAGGAGCAGTAGAATGGCGGCGGCGAGGGGGGCGCGCCGCCGCCGGGGGCCGGGATGAGGGTGTAGCAGGGTGTGTCTTGGAAGGCGGCGCGCCAGGGCTGGCGGGTCCAGGGGCGGGATTCGTTGTGGGCAGCGCGGTACAAGGCGGCCAGCGCCTCGCACGTCGCTCGCTGGCAGGTCAGCGTGCACGCACCGCGCGCGACGCCGGGGCAGTCGAAGACGCGGAGCTCCGGCTGCGGCGCGCCGCCGCCGGGGGGCAGGAAAGGGGCGCCGGGCGCCGCGGCGGCGGCGGCGGCGGCGGCGCGTGCGGCTGTGTCGAGGGGTGTCGAGGGCGGGGGATGATGGGGGCTGAGGCCGGGAGCTGTGAGATGGTGCGCCCACCAGCTGTACTATGTGATATGCGACATTGGCAGTAGAAGAGTGTGCCCTCATTAGTCGTCCTGCATCCCAGGCTGAGTGTCTGGGGGCCACTGCCACCGGGTGTCTGGTGCAGCAAGCGCCGCGTGACCACTGCCGCGCCGGCAATGCGCGCACGCCCACTGGCTGGGAGAGATCCCCCAGAGTTTAGCACTGTTGCTGAAACATTTCGGTCCTGAAAAGCGGCTGCCTGCGGACGCACCCGTCGCGACAAGGGCAGTGGCCGCCCAGAGAAGCGCGAGCTGGCCCATTCCAGCAGTCCCTCCAGAGTCATGAGCCTCCTGCCTGTCCGGCAACGATCGCGATGCGCCCTTTTGGGCTGGTGCGAGGCATTTTTCACACTATGAAATACTTTGCTACGATACGACTTGCAACTATAATGATAAAGAGCGCAAACAGTTTTTTTGCACCTTGTGAACGTCAACACCCGTGAAAGTGACCAGGGTGATGGTGGTGGTCGGCAGGCCAACATGACCCGTGCTGACACCGCGAGGCCCCTTGGCGGGGATCGCAAGTTCCACGTAGGACACGTGGGTTTGGGGTGGGCGTGGGGGCTGGAGATGACAGCACAATGGTTGAAATGTGTCAACGTGGTACCGCCATCCAGCTGCAGCTGCACGCAGTGTCAGCCGTGCCTGGTACCAGGTGACACCTGGGCAACCTGCGCGGCCGCGGGGCGGCCTGAGGATGACGCCCAAATGCCCATCGCGGCCTGCCAGCAACCCAAGCAGAGCGCGCCGTGCTGCCACGCAGCATGGCGGCTCCCAAACTCCATCGGACGCCGCCTTAATCTCAGGCAAAGCCGATGGAGCACCATGTCAGCGGCAGGATCGCTCATCTGGCATTGCAGATTGCGGGGCACGGCGCCGCTTTCCGCGACGGCGGCCCAACGGCTTCTCATTCACACCCAGCAATGAGCAACCAGCAGGTCCATTCAGTCACCCAGTCAGGGGCAACTCAGGAATCAAACTGCCCCATCCGCAAGCAGGCATGGCTGCGCATTGCTGTGCCGGGGGGCCCTGCGGGCGCGTGCACGCACAACAGGGGCCAGAGGTGGGAACCATGATATCATGCATGCCGGCGGGGTCTCGCTTTTTGACCGGTGCCTGAACATCTGGGCGCATGTGAGACGGTCAATACAGTGGCCGCAAAGCCCACCGCTTTGCACCCTCCCCCACCTTGGCTCAGAAGGGTGGCCAAGACAGGGAAGCCAGCGCGTGTGGCTCACATGCATCACAGCAGGGCCCCAACCTCCCCAGACGTACACTTGTGATGCCAGTCGTCAGCCCGGCTGGATGGTGGCGACCTCACATTTTGATACTGTAGCCACGATTGCCAAAACACACCAGCATTAGCAGCAAGGATATGACAGGAACGCATTGTTACAGCGTCCCAAAGGTCGCCCGATTCTGGAGGCTCATGGGATTCAAGAATTTGTACAGAAAAGGAAGCTGGAACAGCAATGCCACTCCCATGCATGGCAGCAAAGCAAGCAACACTTGATAACTTGCAAGCCTTTTGTCTTTTGTGCCACACTCGAAAAACCCGTCAGTAGAGCGACCAGGCCGCTTCCAACAACTGACTGGCTGCGCTACAAAACCAAGATACTCCCACACGCCTGCATGCAAAAACGATGAGCAGCTCACCGGGCCTGGCCCTCCGCCGCCGTGTCAAACCCTAGCGCCCAAAGCAAGAACGCCCACGCAAACGACCCTCACAGCCGGGTGGGCCCGCATTCAGGCAGCGGCGCAGTAGCAGTGCGTGGTAAGAAGCCGGCAAGATTGTAGTAAAAACAGCGCGCCGCCGCGAGCCTTGACACAAGGAAGCCGGATCAATTCGACGCCGCCACGCCGCGCCGCCGCGCGGCTACGCCGTGCCCCCTGCCCTGCGTTCGCGTGCCGAGTTGAGGGCCGCGCGGTTCGCCTCGACATCGTACCATGAATCGTCCAGGAACGCGTTAATGCTGCGGCCGACATTTGCGCAGAGGCGCGCCTCAGCGAGCACCTCGCGCGGCGTCCCCAGCGCGGCGCCCATCAGGCAGGGCCGGCCCGGCGGCACGCGGCGCCCCGTCGCCACGGACGGGCGCACGAGCGCAGGGTCGAGCGACGAGGTGCCGTGCGCGACGTCGGCGGCGCGCAGGAACGCGCAGCTGCCGGAGCGCACGGCGTACGACAGCCCGAGGGACCACAGCCGGAACTGCGCGAGCGGCGCCGCAGACGATGACCTGCCGGCGTCGGAGCCGAGCCAGGACAGGATCGTCGGCCCCGCATTTTTGTCAGCAAACCGGCAGGGCGCCGGGCAATTGCGGGTTGCCTGCACGGCGGCGAACGGCAGGCGGGCAAAGTGGGCGGGCGTCCCGCCCGCGGCGAGCGCTTTGAGCACTCGGTGCAGGCACAGGGCGTCCTTGAGGAAACTGTCCTTCGTCCAAGAAGCGACAGAGGCCTCGAACTCGGCCAGGAGAGGGCCCGCGAAGGCGCCGCGCACGGCGCCTGTGTACACGAGCTCTAAAACATCCCGCCAGAGTGCGTAGAGCTCGGCCTCGCGGGCGGATGGGGGCTGGCCCCCATGGTAGGGGGACAGGACCATGCCGTCGATGCGGTGGCCGATGCTGTCCGTGTCGCCACTCACAACCACCGCGTTGCTGTCGCCGCCGCCGCCGCCGCCGCCGCCCCGACCGCTGCTGCTGCTCCCGCCGCCGCCGCCGCCCCTGCTGCTGCTGCTGCTGCTGCCGCCCCCGCCCCTGCCATCACAACCGCCGCCGCCGCCGCCACCCCTGCCATCATCACCACCGCCGCCGAGGTAGCCGCCAAAAAGCGGCGGGCGCCGGCAGAGGGCGCCGGCGGCGACCTCGGCCGCGGCGAGGCGTCCCGGATCGCGCCAGCGCGCTGAGGCGCCGAACAGCACGTCACCCGCGACCGGCCAGCCCCGGGCCGGCAGCTCGCCGGCGTCGGTCAGCCGCGCGCGCACGACGAGGGCGGCGCCGGCGGCGACGCCCGCGGGGGTGAAGCACATTGAGGGGAGCTCGGCGCCGGCGGCCCCAGCGCGCTCGGACGCGCCCTCATAACACTCCCTGCAATCCGCGCGCGTGCCGTCCAGGCTGCCGCCGCCGCGGGCGCCGCCGTCGCCCGGCAGTTCGTACACGAGGGTGATGTCAGCGTCAGAGGCGCATCCGCACCCGCCGCCGAGCGCCGCCTGCACTTGCAAGTGGACCGCGCTGCCGGGCTGCACCAGCAGGTGGCACACGTGGGCCAGAGTGCGCACGCCCGCAGGGGGGCGGTGGGCCGCCGTCGCCGCGGCGAGCGCGCCGATGGCGTACCCCGCGCCCGCGCGGGTCGCGACCATGTAGGGGGGCGGCGGATCGCGGCCGGGGGACGGGGGGAGGGGTGACGACGCGCTGGTGCTGCCGTCGGCCACTGCTGCGG